TCACATTCATCATCTAAGGTATCAGATACATGATCCCACTTCTCGACTTCTGTCAGATCTACAGATTCGATACAGCGCGCACCAGCGTCTCTCTTCCAGCGCAGTTTCCTGGTCTGCAAAGTTTCTGGTCCCACTTCGGGAATGGGAGGTATGACTCTAAGACCTCCAGTCAGACCGATGTGCGCCATCCCTTGTTGCGTATAGTTCCCCGTCTCATCTCCACTACACTTATGTGTAAGTCTGAGCCTGGGAAGATGCGAGTTTCTGAGCTGATTTTTCTTTACTATGGCATTGATGACATCCTTACTGAGGAGTAAAAGGTTGACACTGATGTCAATATGGGCGCCATCTTTGCATATCACTTGGTCTCCTTGAAGACCAAACCTTTCTCAGGAGCCCGCGGCAAGCCCAAGAGTGTTGGTAGTCTTTATCTTCTGCCACTGCAGAATCGACACCTCCACCTGCAGGATTGTCACTGACCGCCACCTTCTCGATATGGACTACTTGAACAGGACTCACTGGATCAAGGGAGATGAGATGCTATGGAGTTTTGTTAGCATCAGTGGCGAGAGATGTCTGATTCCGCTGCCTCAGCCTACTCTCACTATACTTCAGCCAGACCTCCTCAGCTTTCAGCCTGCTGCTTCATTACTTCGATCCGCGCCAGCCACTAGGCGCAGAGGAGGATCTTCATGCGCTGCTGCTTCTTCCGCTGAGGACGCACCTGTAGAGTACCTTGCTAGAGGTCCATCTCTTCGATCGAGAGCGTCCCGAGCTCCCACACTACCTGAGCCGATTGGGCGACACTCGCTCCCTGACGTTCCTGACATTCCGATGGAGCAGGCCGCTTTTCAGCGATTCATGGTTCAGTGTTTCGGCACTCTGGAACGCCATCTCGGTGCTGTCGAACTGCGGCTGCATTCGACCTTCTTCGCCACCTCACGATGAGGATGAAGATCAGTTCCTCTATCTATCCTGGTTACCTTTCCCTTTTCCTTTGTTCTTTTTCATGTTTTTGCTTTGAGTCAGTTTTTCATGTTTTTTCTTTGAGTCGGTTTGTCAGCTTTGAGTTATGCTTTGAAACTTGTTTGAATTGATGAGATTATGCAGTGTATTATTGCTTTTAATTGTGTGCTTGAGTGTTCCTAACAGTCTTGACTCGGGTGTAATCTAACATGCAACATTATACATGGTTGGATCGATCACATTCTGTCTTCGGACTGGGTGTCGATCGACACCATGCGCGCTCAAAGGTACCATCTTCTCATCTATGTACAAACCGTCTCATTGCTTATATTTGCCAACTCCATACTTGATAACATTGGGGACAGTGTTATTTAAGTCTGGGGGAGGTCATTGCTGACATTGTGTACATTGAGTTTGGTTTTTAGAGTCTTAAATTTGAGTCAAAACCTGTTTTATTGAGTCAAAATTTTTGAAACAGTCAGTTTTTCTTGGAACCAACCTCAAAACGTTGATGCTAAAAAAAAAACATTGCCACAGTAGTTGATTACAAGTCTTACTAAGTTGAAAGTCATAGGTAGATCAGTCTAGCAATGAAGGTTTAGGTTCTTAAAGAATCTGGAAAATTTTCTGTTAACTCCACCTTAATGAGCTTTAAACTTCTTATCTTGGTGCTTGATTCTCATTGATCTTGATTCTCCTTTTCAACACTGACATGTATGTTTAGATGCAGTCTCTCTTTGATCTTCCCTGATATAGATTTAAGAGTATAAGTAAAAAGAATGGTGCATTCATGACCCTGTCTCCTTACAAGGAACAACAGTAATGAACACACTCAAGAACCTGTCTCCTCACAAGGAACACAAGTATTGAGTAGCACCATATCTTTGACTGTAAAAAAAAAAATATAAGAAAAGAGTTGAAAAATCAAAAATATCAGAAAGAAAAGATCAGCGAAGAGAAAATAGGAGAGTTGTGTTGAGATTGCATTGTTCAATGTTTATGAAGGGAAAAGAATCTATAAGTGATTGAGATGATAAAACCTTGATGAGATATCACACAGATAGATATAAGGAGTTAGCAGTAGAGATTTTGGATTTCTTGAAGGAGCTTGAATTGGATTTGAGAGATTTGCTAAGCTTCTGATGATTAGACTGAAATTTGATTTTGTGTTGACTTTGTGGTATGTGGATTCGAATGTGTTGACTAATGTGGTGTTCCTGATGTTTAGCTGATTGTTTCTGTTTTCAAACCTCGACTCTATATTTAGTTCTTTGTTTGCTTGAGGGCAAGCAAAAGCTCAGTCTGAGGAGTTGATATGTCATGGTTTTTATGAGTTTTTGACCATGACATAAGTCCTTTTTATAGAGTCTTTTTGGTATTTTTCGAGTCCTTTCGAGTCTTTGCAGGTCTATATACGTTTGGAGCATAATTGTGGATTTTGGAGCCTTTTGGAGCTATGCTGAAGCTGATGCTGAAAAGACCAAGTCGGAGAGCATTCTGGAGCAGGGTGTCGATCGACACCGATCGTGGACGCGTAAAGGAGTTTCTTACTATTTGCAAACTTTCCCCAGTCGTGTTTAGAGTTGTATTTAGGTTTTGAGAGTCATTGTTAGATTGAGACTAAGTGAGAGATTAGATTCACAGCTTTTGGGGAGACAAATCCGTACTCTGTTAGTGAAGAATTTCGAACCCCCTTTGTCTTTTACTCTATCTTTTAATGCAATATTATCCAGTCATGATTTGTGTTTCAATTCCTATGTCTGAGTAATTTGCTAGTTAGGTTTTGGGTTATTCAAAGGTTGATAATGAATTGTTAGAACTGCAAAACTAGAAGGATAAATCATTTGGTTCTTCATCTAGATTGCTTTAACACTGGTTTTAAGACTGATCACCTAGAAATCAGATCTTAGGTTGTTTAATAGATGTGGAAACATTATTAATCACCAGAACTATCTTAGATGAGCAAAATAACTGATTGCAAAGGAATTTAGATTAGTGATTTTGTGAACATATCGAACCTGAACCATAATGCTTGTTAGGTTGTTAGAATTTACAAAGAAATTTGGAATTCTAGAATCTGATCATAGATAATCTCTGCGACGGAAGTCGATTGGTTTTACATTCGTGTTTTTGAGTTCTAGAACGGTTTTAACAAATAATCCTTTCAGTCTGTAGTCTGCGATTTATGTCAACCAGCGAATTTCCCATTGCCTAGCGCCTTGTCTCATTGATTTTAAGAACCCATAATCCGCTCCTGCTCTTGTTACTTTTATTTGCCATTTCGTTTTACTAGTCATTGATTGCTTAGCTATATTTGAATCTAAAATCTGTTGTGTAATCTTCTTAAGTCCTTGTGGATTCGACCCCTAAGTACTACAATGACCTCTTAATTTGTGAGAGTAGCTCTAAGGGATAATTTGAGCATATCATATAGCGCAACTGGAGCACAATTGAAGATTCTGGAGCTTTTTGGAGCATTGCAAGATGAAGCCACGAAGTGTGCAACTCGGAAGGAGGATTTTGGCTTGGGTGAGGCTCGTCACCACTCAAGGGTGACGCTCGTCACCCGAGGAGGAAGGAGCCGCGGCTGGTTTTCTAAAAGATGGAGAATTATTTGAAGAATTGGCCCAGAAATTTCAGTATTTGCAAGAATGCCCTAGATCGTGTTTTAGCTTGTATATATTAGGTTTTCAGCCATTGTTGGCTTGGATCTTTTATCTTATTCTTTTTGAGAGCTTTAGAGAGAGATTTATTCAGAGCTTTTTGGAGAGACAGATCTTGTACTCTTTTGAGAAGATTTCGAACCCTTTTATCTTTTATTCTATTCTTTCAATGCATTATTATTCAGCTATGCTTTGTGATTCCATGATCATGTCTGAGTAATTTGTTAGTTAAGTTAGGGCTTTTCAAAAGTTGATGAAGAGTTTGTAGAATTGCTAAACTTATAGGAAATCCATTGGTTCTTCATCTGTGCTTGCATTCATGTCGATTTCTTAGACGCATCATCTGGATTTCGAAACCCTAGGTTGTTTGATAGATGTGAGAGCATTATTAATCACCTGAACTAGTATTAGCTGAGCAAAACACCCTAGTGCAAAGAGATTTGACTTAGGAGTTTTGTGAACAATTGAACCTGATCATTACTGCATGTTTAGGTTGTTAGGATTTGCAAACAGATTTGAAACTCTGTGATTTAGGCATAGTTAACTTCTGCAATGAGAATTGATTAGTTATACTTTTGCGATTCATGTTCAAGACGGTTTTAATTCATTCCTGATTGCATGAATTCTACACTCTCGGATTCAACCTGTGAATCCCAAAAATGCCCACTTACATTTATTTTGTTGTTTCGCATTACATTCATTACTTATTGCTTAGCTTAATCTGAACATGAACTCTTTAGTGTAGTTTACTTGCTTCCTTGGGATTCGATAACCCCTTATACTACGATGGTATTGATGTGCACTTGCAGTAATTTTATTTGGGTAAAACCTGAGCCATATAAGAAAGAAATCGAGATTAAGGGAGAGAAGAAAGATAAAGTTCGAGACTGAAAAATGATCTGAGAGAAATTGAGAAAGGGTTCGAGAGAGATCGAGGGAGAAAAATCAAGATTAAAGAATGGAAAAAAAAATATCATATAATCGAGATAAAAAAAATTATTAGGTCAAACAGAGTGACCATCTTATCCATCTATCCAACATAAATTAAACCATTTCAAACCAATCTAATTAATCCATCAATCTAATTGACCCATTAATTCATTAATATCAAAAATTATAATCCAATTGGGTTTATGGATCAAATGGGTTGGATCAACCCATAAATTTGGATCCATTTTGACACCCTTATCTAAGAATTACCCTTACTTTAATTGTTTAGATATAAAATAGCGTACGTATTTTGCGGAGGTTGAATTACACCTTTTTCCAAACCCTTTACTAATACTGATAAAACGTTATAGTGAAAATAGTTGTACATTTAGATGAATAAAAGTTGGTGAATGGTGAGACATGTCAATTTCCGCTTTGATATAACCGAGAAACATTGAACGTACTAAATAAATTTAATAATTTGATTGCATCAACCCCACTTAGTTGCGAAACGCATATTCGGGTTCCAATTTCAACAATGGCGCTGGTAACGAAGAATTGCATTTCCATCAGCAAACACCCACAAGGGGAAAGGTTACAAAAGAAACACTCATGCATAACTAAAAAAGGACATGGAAATGCAAAATACTTCTTGTTTCGAACTAAACTATCCATCTTCTCTGGCTATTGAGCTCACAAAGGAGTCACATGATCAGTCTCGTCTAAGAAGAGGCACCCGAATACATAGTTGAAGAAATCTCTGCCTTTAACAACACCTTTTCCATTCATGGTTTCCATGTCGTATGTGCAAGCTCTCATGCAGTCAGGACAGTATGTAACCTGTGTAGCATATACATTCATTGATAAGAGAACTTGCGACTCAAGAGTGTTCTGAGCTTTCTTGTTTACGATAAAAGAAAAAACATTAATATGGTTTTAGAGATGAACCTCCAAGATTTTTGGCTGGAAGGAGCTATCTAGCATTACATCTACTCCATAAATAGCCCTAGATTTGGATGATTGCATCTCCGGATGCACGAGAGCTGCCGCCTCAAACACTTGACGTATCAATTGCTTCACCTTCTCATGAATATCCAGCCATTTAACTAATGAGAGTAAAATTGTGTTAGTGATAAAAAGAAATGCACTAAGATATATATTTGAAGGAAGGAAACTCAAATGCAGTGTATACCGTTATGTTCTTGTTCAAACTCTCTCACAAATTCTAATGTGGGCTTGTGATTCAACTTCCGACCATAATTCTGAAACACATAAGAGAGTGTGAGTTGTTGTTATGTAGTATGTTGAAATCATTATGTGGAAAAACTTCTCTGAAGATTTACCATGACAGTGAAGTGAGTTTCATATTCAAAGAAACTGTGCTTTTCCAATGAATAAGGATTGTTAGACAACCTAACCTGAAATCAAACAAAGTACGATTGGCACATACGTTCTTTAACCAATACGAGTAAATAATGGCTTGAATCGGATTAAGAATTACCCAAAAAATATCTGTCAGGTAAATCTCCAAGGGGTCAATGCTACGGAGTAGGACAATGTAACGCAGATCAAACTTCTTCCCATTGAACAAAGCAGGGTGCTCTATATATTTCTGACAGATCTTGGGACCAGTTTCCATCATTCGGATGATAGCAGATAAGTTATCGGTTATACTTGTGTCGATGGTCCGTGCCATATTCCATGGTTTCAAGATCCACAAATTGTTCAAATGATCACGTTTGCGTACACAATACTCCCCAATAAACTGAGTCAGATGTGTTTCGAGATTGTAGGTAGGTTGTAACCATTCTGGAGATCCATAAGCCTGTATAGCAAAACATAGAGATTTGATTTAAAAAAAAGTTTCTAATGGTGCCGTGAATGATAATATCTGATGATATATAATATGCTGAGTTTTACCCTTTGAATAGTCTCTGCAAGATGATGCTTCATAACAAGACAAGCCTCAAAGGGAAACTGATTTATGTATTGGTCATCTGTTAACCCCACCGCCTTTTTCAGCTCCTCGTCTACCTGCATACTCGTCCATATAATGTCCGCCTCTTTTGGTTCATTTGCTGCACGTGATACATCTCAGAAACCTTAATTTGTCTGATGTGTACTAAATCTAAAAGGCGAAAGATACTAAAAAGCTGGGAATTTGGTGGTAAGAACATACTCAACACAAATTCTGGACGTGTCAGAAACTCTTCAACTTGAGGTAGATCCGTGTGTACCAGCAAAGGAGACCCATCACTATGGCGTATGCTTCGGGAAACAAAAGGTTTCAAAGGTAAAGACGCAAGCGCTTTCGCCTTCGGTTTTTGTTGGTATTTCTCAAACTCCTAGGAAATCAATAACAAGGAATCTGTTTGTGAGCTTAAAACTTCGTAGGGAATGAGACAACATGAAATATGATAATGAACATAAAGCTACAGGGGAAACATTGGAAGTACATGAATAAAGTAGTTCTCAGGAGTGTGAAACCAGGCCGTGAGCCTAGCAGATCGATGTTTGTCCTCCCCGATACCAGAGAGAAAATCACGAGTGCACTCATCACCTCTCTGAGAAGTTTTGATAGGCCACATTATCGAATAGCTGGAACATTGAAAACAAAATAAACATGTGGATATGTAAGAGTCACAGAGAGTAGCACTGTGAAAGTAGATTTACATACATTATGTGTGAGACATGATCAAGAAGCGCATGTAAATACATTTTACAGTTTAAAACTACACCAACATAATAAGTCTTTACTGCACAAAGTAAAAATTACAAAATTTATACCTCACAGCAGAGCCTAAGTTCCCGGACGGCATGAAAAGGAAAGGAGCCACTCTGAAATTGGGTTCATCGCTATGCCCCAAAGCTGAACCCAATTCATCCATCACATACCTGCAAAAATATCAATGTCATTGCCACTTGTTATTAAACATTGATATGCCTAAAGAAACTACAGATTTTTTTATGCCTATAAACTCCTACAGTTTTTGGTAATAGGATTAGAATCGTCCCAACATTATAGCAATATCATTACATACTTCTGGCATTAGATTCACCTATGCAATTCTCGAATCTATCGATTTTAATGAAAACAATTGTTAGGAATTCTCTAAATTTAGATACAAGTACCACACACAAACTAAAATAGCAATGGGGTTTTCTTCTATTAAACAAATCCACTGCAGTTATTCTAATATAGCAAAAAAGAAAGCCAAAAAATTGCATACCACAAGGAAGTTTCATCAATCTTTTCCTCATCTGCAAGGCGATAAGTCATCAAATAAGACCACATTGCTCCAAGAACACGATCAGCAAGACAATCCTCCGGATTTGGCTCAGGAAGGCGTGGTGGAAGCAACGAGTCAACTACATGCTTTCCGTTTTCTAAGATTTTAGCTGTATCAACGCCATTTAACAAAGAAAGGTTTGGGAGAGATTCAAGAATCTCTACAGCACTGTTTCCAAGAGGTCCAGGTATGTCAACCTACAAAAAAGAAGCATAAATATATTTTAGTTAACATTGAACAGTAGCCTCACTTTGTATCTGAATTAGTAAGGAAAATTCCAAAAATTACCTCTAAAGAAGAAAGCGAAGGGAAGAGCTTCAAGACTTCAAACAGTTCCCCAACAGAATTTTGATCCAACGGGTTTCCACGGATATTCAGTTGAGATAGTAATGGCATCTCCTGCACAGAGAATGCCTGAAAAAACAAAAAAGTAAAAGGTATATAAATCAGAAACACTTCAAAAAGATATGTATCTGCTTCTGCTAGAGTGTCTATAAGATACAAAATTGCAACAGATATATATTCATCAGAATTGCAATAAACTACACTCTCTCTCTCTCTCTTAGAGGAAGTTACTAATAAAATTGACCTTATTGATCAGATTGTATATTGACCGGTTTGAAAGGTCAAGTGAGGTGATATTGCACAAGGATTGTTCTTGCTCAACACAACCAGGATTATCCTTCCCAAAGATATCTCCACAGAAGCCAAGTGCCCACAAACCGTAATTAGGTGTAAAACGCGAGTTGTAGATTTCTAGACTCGGACAGCCTTGCAGTATTTCGTCAGCCATTCGTTCACTGAAAAACATGAGTCAATGAGAATTTTATTATTAGTATCCCTATCATTTATATGTTTTCCAAATGCATGTTTACCTCTTTTGAAGAACAGGATTGTCATTCAGCCACAAAGCCTTCAGATTCTTAAACTTTGTAACCTCTTGTATGACCAAATCCACACTCTCGATTTTGTTCCCAATAAGACTAAGGGCCAGTAAATCCTACCAACAAAAATTGGCAGCAGAATAACAAAAATAAAAATCTTTAGAAACTAGCTATTTATAAAATTCAAAAGTGTTACTTTACTCAAGTTGTCACTGCGAGTCTGTGACAGATTATATAACACAAACAAAACTTCACCATCTGTGTTTAAGTCTATCACGAAAGTAAGGAAGAAGACGAAAGTTCTAAAGGCGTGCCTGAAATTTACTAGGCAAATGCAAAGACACCAAAGAGCCATCATCTATACCCAGACTCTCCAACTCCAACCATCTTATAGAGTCAAATCCTTTATCTGATGCGTAATGAGTTTCATTCTCTATCATCTGATCAACAGAGAGTTCCTCATGATTCTCTGCGACTTCTTCTTCTTCAGCATTTCCCTCCAAACCAATATCAACACACATCAACGAACCCATCCTCTCAGCCAATCCCGGAATTTCCTGAAGCTGAAGTAGTTTACAGAAGAAAAAAAACCCAGTAATTTAACCTCAGAACAACAATGATGATTACAAAACCAAAAATGGAACTTTTTTCCTCACAAGTCGACTCAACCCTTTTAACTTGAATTGCCAAAGTTACATAGAATTAAACGATACCGATTGGTTACGGACATGCATTGTTCAAACTTCAACCATAAATGAAAATTTTGCAAGTAATATATATATATATATAAAAAAATCAAAAACCAAGTGAAATTATGAACAAACGCATAAAGAAAAAGGCAAATTCTAAACACAAACGAATTTGCAACTTTCTTCATACATTTTCGTCTGACTGACCAAAGTTACATAGACATGATACTGACTAATAACTATGGACATCTTTTTGTTCAAAATTCTACTATAAAATGAGAAATTTGCAGGTAATCAAAACAAACCCGATACACCATAGTTCATCTTCATGAAGCACTTGATCAGTTACCCAACAATGTGCAATCCCAAATTCAATTTTGATTCCTTAATCACGGTAAAGTCGCAATTTTTTTTTTTTTGCTAAAGAGTAACGCCCAATTTTTAAAGAGTGAGAGTGGCGGCGATACAAGACACAAACCTGCTTATATGCATCGGGAAGACGAAAAGTCCAGGCGTGATCGATAATGAATACGTCAGAGTCTTTAGGCAAAGATTCGGAGGTGAGAACAAGCTTCCGTCGCCGACCATCGTCGCAGGGCTCGATCTGAAAGTGAGCGCCGCCATCTAAAGTATCCGAAGCAAGTTTATCGAAGAGGCGTTGGTAAAGTTTCTGCGGCAACCCAGAAGCCGCCAAGAGTACTCCATGTACCTCCACGAAATCTTCCAATCTCTCGACTTTTGCCATTTTCCTTTGCTCGTGGATTTTTGATGGCAGCCCCTTTTTCTAGCTCCCAGGGTTTTTTTGAGGTTTAGTTGCGTGACTTGCGTCTTGGAGCGACGACCTCTCAAGTTGGTTTTTACTTTTTGGCAAAGCCTCACAATTCAGTTTTTATTTTTTTTTCGATTTGTTGTAACTTTCAGGCTCATTTTTACCATCCCTTAGCAAATAACAGCATACTAGATAATAAGTTAATAACTAGGTAAGAACCTGCACTCTCTGCGGAATTAAATAATTATTATTTATTTAAATTTAATATATTTTTAAAATTATATAATATAATATAATTAAATTTATATAAATTTTATATAATATTATATTATAATATTGACAATATAGTTTTATATTTATTTTTTATAAAATATAAGATAATTTAATTATAATTTAAATTAATTTAAAAATTAAGTAGCATACATAGTGTAGGAAACAACAAACCAATGTAAAGAGGAAACAGAGGTTTTAAGAAACTTACATTGATATTGCTTGAAACATTAGAGCATGTGCAATGGGAGAAACTTAATGGAATTCTTAGTTAATATTTAATTATAATTTTCTTGTTAAAAACCTTTGTTAAGATAATTTTATTTTCTATGCTCCAATGGTAGAATCTTATTAGAGGTTCTTAATAATGGAGTATAAAACAGTACTGTGTTCTCTCTTTCTTCCTCCTGTACAAACAAGACCTTTAAATTAAGATGTTTTATCGTGTCTCTTCTCTTTCCACCATTTGTACGAAAACTTTGCTCATTGAGACTCCTGCAATATCTCCCATGCCATTCACACTGAACTGCACCGTTGACCTCACCACGCTCGCCTGTGACTTATCATCCACCATTGTTGCTTTCTGTCTTTCGCTTGAGCCTGAAGCATGAATTCTACGTTCCACAACAGATCTCCCATTGTTGGCCTCTCAGTTCCGTTTTGGGCCAAACACATCTCTGTTATCTCGCAGTACTTCTTCATCTCTTCAAGCCTCACTTTCCCTTCAAGAAAAGGGTCTATGCTCTCTTCCAACTTCCCTTTCTTCACCAGTTTCATCGCCCACTCGATCAAGTTCACTTCCTCTCTCGGAAGAGACGGATCAATGACTGGTCTCCCGCATAGTACTTTAAGCATCACAACACCAAAAGAGTATAAAACGTTTAATATTAAGTTAACCCATAATTATGTGACTTCAACAGAGTTAGCCAATGAGCCGAACATCTACACATATCAAAGTATAGTAGCAGAGGAAAAAAGCAGAATCATCTACACAAATCAAAGATTAAAAAAAATAACTACAGAAGTATCAAACATTAGGACCATTTCAAATGAGCGTAAGAACTAAAGCACAATGAAAACAGGAAGGAAAATCGAACTTAAAACGGCATTTATGGATGAAGGAGTAAGAGATCGAAAGGTAAAAATAGAAAAAAAAAAGAACATAAGTTTTAATACCTTTGTTCCCAGTCGCTTGTTCAAGGCTTCATTCCACATATTAGCAGCATTATCAGGCTGCATTTTCCTCCAAACAGTCATGAAAGAGGCAACCTGAAAACAAAACTTCAACAAAAACAAAATTTCAACAACATAAGTCTTCTTGTAGTTAAAACTTAAACTCAAGGCAACACTCTGAAGCTTTGTTACCTTTTCGTTTTCATTCCCTGATTCACTAACCCATAGTTTCCCTTTGGAGTCTCTCAGGAATGACTAGCCTATGCCCCGCTCACCCACTTCTCAAGAGTCTCGAAACCACCCCACCGTCCGAGATAGCTAGTAGATCACCAGATTGGATTTGATCAGTTGTAATGTTTGTAACCGATGGTTCAGAACGAGCTTTAAAGTTAACCTGATACAACAAGTACCCCCATAAACGCATCAAACAAAGTCACAAAAGAACATAGCTTAGGATTTATCGATTTATAGAAATAACAGAACTGACGATTCTTGATAAGAAGCAATAAAGAAACAATGGATTCTCAAAGATTGCTCCACTTTTAAGCCTACCACACAACTACACAAGTTTCTCACGAAAATCGATTAAACCCAAACTTGAGTAAGAATCACGAGTCGTATCCAAAATTGAAGAGGGCCCAAACACAATAACTCCCATAAACATTCAAAAACGAAACACAAATAAGCAACAAAACGATGATCATGCAAACAGCAAACAAAATCGATATTCTCATTCGATTTCCATTTTCACCTTGATGTGAAGTGTGCCTCCGCCGAACTCGCTAGCGGACTTGTTGTGAAACTCCACCCAAGCCCTGTTCTCATAGAAACAAGCACCTTTCCACTTGACGGCATCATTCCCTTCAAGCGCAGAATTTTCTGCTTCTCATATTGTTTATCGGAGAGATTGTGATGAACATCGGCCGGAATCACAGAAAGATTAGAGGGAGAGAAAGAGAAGACATCGATTCAAAGCAGATTCAAAGTAGAATCCATTGAATTCATTGAATCACATTAGAGAAGAAGGGCAAATGGTGAGAAAGAGCAGAGATTGATTCTGTAGAAAAAAGTAATTGTTGGATTCTCAATCTCTTTCCAATTAAACATGGACACGTCACAGGTAAAATCCGACTCTTAAAAAGCTTAATGAAGAGTCGATTCTTCTCTTTTTATTTAATTTTCATTTAATTAAATACAATATTATTTTAAGAACCATGCTTAAGATTTAGCGTTGCACATGGTCTTAGAAACTACAAGAGTTCGATAATTATACACAAGTCATAGAAAATCCTAGAAACTCATCATGAAGGCTCAGATCATTCTCCGTCACACAATCTTAGACTTTCAAAGCTATTGCTGATTCCTATCCTCACAGCTAGCTTGTACGGAGGAGACTTGTGCTTTGTGCACGATGTTGACATTGCAGAAGGAGCCGTTGCAGGAGCAGAGTACTTGTTGGGCTTCGGATCTTTGTAAGGGCCCAACAGTGATTTTGCATTTTCACTGGGCTTAGGCCCAATAGCTTTAACACTCCCCCTCAAACTTTGTGGCGGTTCAGCGACACCAAGTTTGAAACGTAGATTAGAGAAAGCAGGATGGGGCAGCGGTTTTGTGAAGATGTCCGCGAGTTGATGAGCGGCGGAGATGTGATGAACAACCAGAGAGCCCCGAGCAACCTGTTCCCGGACATAATGCCAATCAACTTCAAAATGTTTTGTTCGTTTGTGCATTGCAGGCGTGGCAAATAAGTAAACTGCAGAGAGATTGTCACAATAGAGCTCTGGTGGGGAGAGTTGTGAGAAACTGATGTTGCGCAGAAGATGACCCAGCCATGTGAGTTCTGCAGCCGTCTCAGAGAGAGTGCGATATTCAGCTTCAGTGGATCTACGAGAAACCGTGGCTTGACGCTTAGCAGACCAAGAAATAAGATTTGAAAAAAAGAAGGTGCAAAAACCCCCTGTGGAGCGACGAGCCTCTTTGCAGCCTGCCTAATCACTGTCACTATAGGCGCGGACTGTGAAGTCAGTGTCAGCTATCAAGTTGAGATCAAAGTCTGTTGTACCTCGAAGGTACCGCAGAATACGTTTGAGAAGATTGAAGTCAGCGAGAGTCGGAGAGTGCATCTTCTGGCATATGTAGTTGACGGAGAATTGGATATCCGGTCTCGTTAGAGTGAGGTATTGGAGTTTACCGGCAAGGCTGCGAAAGTACGATGGTTCCGAGAATGCTTCATCTTGGTGAGGGACTCTATCAAGTTGAGAAGGCAGAGGCGTGGAGATTAGGGTGCAAGCCGACATACCTACAATCTGCAACAGGTCCTCCGTGTATTTGGCTTGGTTTAAGAACAAGCCCTGATCATGAAAGTGAGCCTGAATCCCAAGAAAGTAGTGGAGAGGACCAAGATCCTTCATCTTAAACTGATCACTCAAAACAACAAGCAGCTGAGCGATGAGATCGCTGTTGTTTCCTGTCAATAATATGTCATCAACGTAGAGGAGAAGAATGAGAATGTCGCCATTCTTCAAATAAACAAAGAGAGATGGGTCAGAGGTACTACAGATGAACCCGAATTCCATGAGATAGGTGCTGAATTTGTTAAACCAAGCCCTCTGTGCCTGTTTTAAGCCATAAATGGCTTTGTGTAACTGACACACAAAGCCTGGTTTCTCCTGATCAATATATCCCGGTGGTTGATGCATGTAAACCGTTTCAGTGAGGTCCCCATGTAGAAAAGCACTTTGAACATCAAGCTGTTTGACTTCCCAGTTGAGAACCACTGCAGTATGAAGAATGGAGCGGACAGTTGGGGTTTTGACAACAGGAATATAGGTGTCAAGGTAATCAATCCCCTCTTCTTGCCCAAACCCCTTGGCAACGAGTCGTGCCTTGAGTTTGTCAAGCGATCCATCAGCCTTTAGCTTCGTTCTGAAAACCCACTTACAGCCAAGAATGTTCATATCAGGATGATAGGGAACCAAAGAGAAGGTGTTAGTGGCAGACAAGTTGTCAATTTCTTCTTTTGTTGCTGCATTCCATCCTGGATGTTTTAGAGCTGCAGTGATGGTTTTGGGCTCAGAGGGCGTGGAAGAGATAGATAGAAGAGCATAACGAGGGTTTGGCTTAGAGATGCCAGCCCTGAGATGGGTGATCATAGGAGCAGAACGAGATGTAGAGTTATCAGTCGTTACTGCAGGTTGTGATGGAGGGTTTGATAGAGGCGGGAAATCCAAATCAGTAAAAAGAGATTCATCACCCTGTGAAGCAGAGAATGAGCCGGTAGGAGGAGAAACTACTTCAGGAGCAGCGGGTGAACGAAAAAAGCTCTCCTGCCACGCTGAAAGCAGAGGAGTATTCGCGTGAGCATATGAGCATAAGACGTTGCAAACGGAAACATAGTTTCATCAAACAGAACATGACGACTTATGTATACTCGTCCCGTGGGAGGGTAAAGGCATCTGTAGCCTTTGTACTTGTCATTGTAGCCCATGAATACACACTTTAAAGAACGAGGATCCAACTTATTTGAAGTATAGAGTCGCAGGGAGGGGTAACACGCACAACGAAAGGACCGCAGAGCAGAGTACTCTGGTTGCTTTCCAAACAGCATTTCATACGCACTCTTGTGATCAGGAAGAGTAGAGGAAGGAAGGATGTTTCTTAGAAAGTTGGCAGTAAAGAAGGCTTCGACTCAGTAGTGTTGAGGTAGTTTACTCTCAAACATCATAGCTAAACCCAGTTCAGTAATGTGACGATGTTTCCTCTCGGCAAGACCATTCTGTTGAGGCGTGTGAGGGCAAGAGAATTGTTGTTTAATCCCACAGTTTTGATAGATGTGTGAGAAACCTTGAGCTTGTAAATTCACCACCTCCATCACATTGAAAAGACTGAATCTTAACACTGAATTGATTCTCAACGAAAGACTGAAACACTAGAAAAGTTGAGTAGAAGTCTGATTTATTTTTGAGAGGATACAACCAACAAAACCTTGAGAAGTTATCAATAAAGACTACATAGTATCTGAAACCCTGAACTGAACAGATCGGTGCAGGTCCCCATAGATCACAGTGCAGTCGCTCAAGAGGTCTTGTTGCAGCATAGGTAGAAGCGGAGAAAGGTAGTCTTGCACTCTTAGCCAACTGACAGGAGTCACAGAGCTTGGAGGCAGCTTTATTGATAGATATAGCCTTGTTTTTGACCAGATGTTGGAGAATCTCATGACTTGAATGACCCAACCGTCGATGCCAAACATCAGCGCTTGTACTGAGTTGTCTGTTAGAGTAGAGGGCTTGAACCGAAGGTGGATTCTCCAAAACATACAGGTCCTCATGTCTGCTTCTGTGAGTCAGGAGTCTTTAGGAGACTTTGTCCTTTATTCGAACACCAGCAGCGTCAAATTTAACAGAACATGGATAGTCACTTGTCAACTTAGACACAAACAACAACGATTTAGCAACACCAGGGCACATAAGCACATCATTAAGAACAAGCGTACCTGACACAGTTTGCAGAGGTATGGAGCCTATGTGCGTGATAGGTAGACAGTTGCCATCGGCTATCATAACATTATCGTTTCCATGATACTCTTGAGGAGAGTGAAGGTTGTCAACAGAGTTGGTAATATGAGCAGAAGCTCTAGTATTCGAGTACCATTCTTGTCCAGAGAACTGTTGCTGATAACCAAGCTGTTGTTGTTCGGAGATTTTCATCGCAGCCATAGCTTGAGGCAGCGTGTTGGATGAGGAGCCTTCATAACCATACTCATACGGTTCATATCGACTGTAGCACTTGGCAGCTGAGTGACCAACTTTGCCACAGATCTGACAGGATAAGCGTTGACCAGTGCTTGAGTATGATCCGCGATTGTTAGTGAAAGGAAATTGTTGAGGAAAGCCTCTTCCTTGAGTAGAATAGAGACCTCTGCCTTGACCACTGTAAGCTCCTCTGCCTCCGAAACCGCCTCTGTACTGTCCTCTACCTCGGCTAGGGAAACCACCTCTGTTGGAGTAAAAGGCTTGATGTGGTGTTACATCCGGAGTGTCTTCATAGGTCTGAAGCTTTTCATCAAATCCAATAAGTTTGTATATCACATCATCGAAGCAGGGGCTGTTGTCTGAATCCATGGAGTCTTCAATCAAGGTGCTTATGGACTCATATTCACAACCAAGTCCATTTAGTATCCCATAGATCTTGTCTTGTTCTGCAAGGGGAGCACCGATGGAGTCCAACTGATCGCAAAGTGAGGTGATTTCCTGCAGATACTGAGCAATAGGGCGAGTACCTTTCTTGGCAGCTTGGATTCTTCGCTGAATGTCGAGGCGACGAGTGGCTGAAGCTCTGTTATACTTCTTTTCAAAGTGAGACCAGACCTTTTGAGAAGATCGGAGACCGTAGATGCTCTTTAGTGCTTCTTCAGAGAGAGATCCATAGATCCAAGCCATGATAAGTTGATCTGTTTGAACCCATTTCAGGAACTCCGGATTAGCTGCCTGAGTCGCCTGTGGTCCTGTTCCAGTCAGCGTCGTAGGAGGAGGACGTGGTATATCACCACTTACGTACCCGAGAAGCATTTGGCTCTGCAGAAATTGCTCAAATTGGAGCTTCCATTGAAGATAGTTCTTATCATTGAGTTTGAGAGTGACTACTTGATTTATGGAAAGAGGAGAAGGAGAAAAGAGGTTTTGAGAGAGCTCCATGGCTTTGATACCATGTAGGAAACAACAAACCAATGTAAAGAGGAAACAGAGGTTTTAAGAAACTTTCATTGATATTGCTTGAAACATTAGAAACTACAAGAGTTCGATATTTATACACAAGTCATAGAAAACCCTAGAAGCTCATCATGAAGGCTCAAATCATTCTCCATCACACAATCTTAGACTTTCAAACCTATTGCTGATTCCTATCCTCACAGCTGGCTTGTACGGAGGAGACTTGTGCTTTGTGCACGATGTTGACATTGCAGAAGGAGCCGTTGCAGGAGCAGAGTACTTGTTGGGCTTCGGATGTTTGTAAAGGCCCAACAGTGATTTTGCATTTTTACTGGGCTTAGGCTCAATAGCTTTAACACATAGCACATGATATAGCTGGGTAAAAATACGAAGTTACCATACAGATTTTCTATATCTCGTAATTGATGATATGATTCATTATTTTCACCAATGT